GGTGCTGTGCAGCCTGCTCTGGGTGACCCTGCTTGGGCAGGGGGTTGGACTGGGTGACCCACAGAGGTCCCTGCCAACCCCGACCATTCTGTGATTCTGTAATCCTGCGTAGCGATGTCGGTAAGGAGGACACATCTTTGTAGCCTCGATCACGGCTGAGCACAGGGTCCCTACATTTCCAGTAATTTGTGACGTCTGGACGTCAAGCTGCAGCTTCAGAAAGCAGCAAGCTGAGCTGCCTTTTCGCCTCTGAAAGTAGAATGTCAGTGAACAATTGTTTCTTCATTGCTCTGAATGAATTGCCTTGTGTTTACAAAGGTCAGAAACAAGGAGGGCAGCATGTTTAGGGCTGGTCTCTATGGTAATGAGGCAGCCCCGTCAGAGAGCATTTTATGTGTGCAGTGAAGTAGCTGGACTCAACTTCAGTGGGTTCGCGTTTTCTATAAATGTAACGGTTTCTTTTTTTTCCCTCTTTCTTTTCCTCTGTGCCTGTCCCTCACCCCCACCGCTTCCGTCCCTCCTTGCTGTGAAATGCTTAGGTCTGGAGCCAGAAAACCCTGAAACAGGTACAAACAGTGGCTGCTTCTGTTGTTGTTTCTGTTGCTATCTTGGAAGTGTTTCTTGTTTTCTGGGGGGAAAAAAAAAAAGGGGAGAGAAAAAAAAAAAAGGAAGCAGACAGTCCCCTGTTTTCGCTCGTCCTGTAGCTAGAAGGAATCCTCGGTAATCGGAGTTTTCGTTCTCCTCATAGATGATTGGAGGTCGCCATCCAACACCGATGCCAACGGGGATGCCCAACCATCTTCTCTGGCTGCCAAGGGTTATAGGAGTGTGCGTCCGAACCTTTCTTCAGACAGCAAGCCACAGGTAAGCCTTTCCTCCCTGCCCCTGAGGGTCAGCTTCTGGGTTCGAGCACTGGATTCATGGTCAGGAGTCCTGGGTTGATCGCCAGACTTGGCTGCGGACTGGGGTAAGTTGCTGTGCCTCAGCTTTTCCTGCCTTTAAAATGGGACAACACGGATGTCAGCGGAGCGCTGTGGAGCTGGTGTGTTCAGGCATGCCGCAGTGTTTCCTTGGTGGGCGAAGGAGGACGACAACGCTATTTGTCTGCAAGAAAAAAGGTGAAGTAGTGGTCTGCTGCTGTTTCATCTTTTGTGGTGGTCTGTTGCCTAGAGGTTGCCGCAGGCTGAAAGCAGAGTTACACCCTACATTAAGAACAAGACGTTGGGGAAATGCCGTTCAGTTTTAGCACTAGCTGGTACAAGCCAGCAAGGGAAAGGTTATTTGTACCGGAAGGTAAATTGTTGAAGTCAGTCTGAGAGGTGTAACTTCATCCTTTTTCTTCTGGATGGTCGGTCTGTACAGAAGCAGTCTGAAAGCTAAGAGAACCCTGCGTTAGAAACCGCTTTTTTGTGTGGAGCCGAGTCCCGTTAAAGCCCTGTCCCCTAGCAGGGTGACTGCTCCCATCATCGGGGACCTGTAGCAGTGCCACGGAGCGGACACCCTTCCTGAAATTGTGAGTGGAAGAAGGCAAAAGTGGGATGAAGGCATGGGAAGGAGCGGCACGCTGAAGGAGAACCCCGTTCGCTGCCTGGTGCTCGCGGCTGTGCTGTAGTCCCTGCTGGATCTTGTCAGTGGACGGAGAGAGCACTGATGCTGGTGGTGGTACTTGCAGAAGTACCAGGGGTCGTGGGCCAAGCTAAGCCGGAGTGGAAGAAAGTGGAGAACAGCAATGGCAGGCGGGGCATCGGCAGTTCCTGATGATACTGCGTGGTGGGACAGCGACGCTTCGCCTGGCCTAGGGACATACCATGGCACTCGGGAGTCCCCAGACCGGAACGGCTGTCCGAAAGGGCTCAAAAGGAGCGAGGCTGTTCCAGCAGCCCTGCGGAAGGACCGCTCGCCAACCCACTCCTCCACGCTCCTGCGCATCCAGGAAGGGGGCGAGAGGGGCAGCGTGAGGACAGTACGTTTGCAGACAGCAGCTGTAATTGTATGAAGCTATTCTAGGTCTGCATCCATGTGACAAGGATAGGCGCTGGCCACAACCTGTCACGCGTGGATGAATTTTAAAGGAGGGGTGTTTTCAGGTTTGAATGTTGCAAGCTGTTAAGACACCTTGGTTCTCTGCTTTTGGCCATTTTAGCAGTGGCTTAGCCAGCCTTTGTCCATAAAGGTATGACAACAGAGTGTGTAAAACCTACTTTCATAGTCTCCAGAGGGTTAATTTGGAAGAATGCAGGGACCTGCTGCTCGCTGGATGGGTGGTTTGGTTCTCTTCCTTTGGGTAGTCAATAGTTTTCAGCTACTGGCCACAAAGCAATAAATAAAACAAAACCTCTCTATTGCTACGTTATTTTACTTCAAAGCAGTTTGGCTTTCAGAAAACATTCTCTATAACTGGAGCTGGAGTTGCAGTCGGCAGGCAGTTGTGGAGTTAGCAACTGATGTGTTGCAAAGTGCCAAAGCCAGGAAAGCTTTTTTCATTGTTTACCAGAAGCAGGACTTCTCTGTCGGTGATCTTGATTCTGGAGGCAAATTCTTACAGATTCAGTTCCTCAAGAAACTTCCATTGTTCTGGTCTTCCCAAAAGCGTTTTCAGGAGAGAAAAATCCTGAAGACGGTTCAAGAGCTGGCTTTTGGAAGGAGGAAATGCTGACGTTTCACTTAGCCGGCCGTGGGCAGGCTATAATATTCACATGGTGTCTGCTTTCGTTAGCACTGGTGAAACTTCGCAATGTTCCTTTTTCGGCAGCGCACGTCCCGTGTGGCAGAGATGGCCTAGAGCTCTGAATTTGGCCTTGCGATTGAAACGTCCCCCGTGCTGGGAACCTTCAGTTACACAGGCGTGAGCCTGGGCTTGGTTAGCCAGGATGTTCAACCTTGACTCGAGCTTTCCTGGGGGCACAGTGGGTGTTGCTGTGCGGGCCTCTTGAAATGGTGCAGTGCTGAGATTTGTTCAGCCTAGAGAGAGGAACGTGTAGGCAGGGGCTCGGGCGCTGGGCGAAGCTCTAGTGCCGCAGTGGGCAGGGCTGAGGAGGAGAGAATGGGCAAGGTGGTGTGTGCGAGTGAGTTCTGCGCTGGCCTTCCAGATACTGTATTTGCTTTTTGTTCTTGCTGTATTAAAACCTGCTTAACCCAAGTCTAATGACTGAATTCATTCTTTGAATTTATTTATTTTTTTTCCTTCCTTTTTCCTTTCCTTTGGTGCTGCTTCGTCTCTCCCTCTCTCTCTTCTTTCTTGACTCTGCCTGGGCAGGCCCTCGCTCCTCCCCGTCCTCCTCTTCCCAAAGAGGAAAGCTTTGCATGGCGTCCTCGCGCTGACACCAAAGCGACCAACCTGTTGCCGGTGCCCATCATGGACTGCGTGTACCTGACCGCGCCCAAGCCTCATATGCAGCGTGCATCACCCAGTGCCAGCGCACGGAGTTATTTTTCCTCACCTACCCCCTACGGGGCCATCCCCGGTGGGAGGCAGGGCTTGCCAGCAGGGCATTCCCCCTCTTCAGGCCCCAGAGATGAGGTGCATGCTGGGCAGCCGCTCTCGGCAAGTCGCTCCTCGTTGGACGCGTCAGCTGTACAGCGCACCCCTGACGGGGCAGATCCCAGTAGTAAGGCTGGAATGAATTCCAGTCCGGAGACGAAGGCGGATAAAAAGGTCACCAAACTATATGTAGCTTGTTTATCTAACAGCACTTGCTCAGCCGCATCTGAAAATTCCACTGGCACCACACATGACCCAGCAGCCAGCACCAGTTTGGGCGCTGAGCTCACTCAGGCACCAGCCACCGACGTTGTTTCCTCTGTAACCGATACTGGAAAGTCTCTTCCTGCTCCTCCTCCTCCTCCTGTTCCTCCCAGGCCGTACTTTTACATTGTCCTCAGTAAAGACGCAGTTAGTTATGGCCAGCCCTCCTGGACTCAGCCGTCACCTCCGCCAGCGGTGAGGGACAGAGTGCTAGAGCCCCAGAGCCCAGCTCCCGCAGAGGACAGGATGAGAAAAGAGCCTTACCTTACTCGGCAGCGACCGCCACCGTACAAGGCAGTGGGACGCAGCATGGTACATGTTTTCTCCGTAACCTCGTTTTCTTTCAGCTCTGCGAACGGTTCTTTTAATTCATGACAATGTTCCCTTAATGCTTTATTCCCCTCCTGCCTAATTTCTGAGTGCTCGTCGTGCCACCCAAGTCTTGCGGTCCTCTACTCGATAATACTTAACACCCCGTGCGCGACGCCCGACGTTGATCTGTGTGTGTGCGCGCGTGTGGTGTTTGCAGGGGGCTGGGGTGGGCTGGTGAGGATCTGTCTGTTGTAGGGAGGTGTGGAAGAAGCAGGCTCTGTGATGAGGTGGTTGGCGCTTCTCGAGCGGCGGTGAGCACAGAGCCGTTCTGCGGCTCGGTTTAGCCTCGCTGCGCGGAGCTGGAGAGGGGGGTGGTGACGGGAAGGAGGATTTTTGTGAGGAGCTGCGCGTGCTCATAGAGCCCAGGGCTGCAAGACTGAAGGAGTATGGCTCCCTAAGGAAGGAAAACCTGCCGGGGCTCCGTATCCGTTCTGGGTGCCTCCTTGCATGACGCTGTATGGCTGCATTAAAGTACCGATCTCCCCCGTTGCGTAACAACACCTTGTTTCCTACAGGATGCCACTGCCACCACCACAGCTCAGCCTGGGGTTATAGTAGTCCCCCTCCTCCAGGTTAATCCCGACAGACAGCACGAAGGCAGCTCCAGCACTCCACCACCGCCTCTGGTTCCCTTTGGGCAAGGCTCCGCGTTCCCCGAGACTGGTTCTCCTGGCTCACCCTTGACTTTTCCGACTCTAGATGATTTCATTCCCCCACATCTGCAGAGGGGTTCCCACCATAACCAAGCACCCTCCGCGCCCGGCACGTTACCCTCTGTTTACCCGAAACTGCCATTCTTCTCATCACCACCTTCACTTGTCCCTCCGGTCGCGGGGGCTTTGCCCAGGGGCTTGAAGCCTGAAATCGCTGGAGTCATCTCACATACAGTAAGCTTGCCAAGTCCCCTCCTCGCCCTTCTCCTAAACTTGTGTTCCCAGATTGAAATTATTTTCTCCTTGCAATACTAAACTCGAGCGAGGAGCGACGGCTCGCTCTCTGCCAGCAGCATGACAGCTGACCCCCTGTTTACCTCCTGTGCTAGTGCATGCCTCTCCTTGCCTGCCGTGTGCGGCTGCGGACTTTCTGCTGACCACTCACAGCGATGTCTGACCGTCGGCCTCTCTGCCCGCTCTGCGGGGCGAGGCACACCCACGGAGCCGTCACCCCGTCGGCTCACGATGGCAAGTTCTGTAGAGACAGAATAGCTGCAGCTAACTGATCCCTTCAGGCTCTGTTAATAGCATCCTTAATTGTGTTTGAATAATATTTAAAGCAGCACCAGCAGACCGGTTAAAGGTTAGGGCTGGCTCGCTGTTGCCCTTGGAGCCACAAGTCCGTATGGTCTCTACACAAATCCCTGCTAAAATCAGTGTAAGGTTGCTGCCAGTATCCAGTGACCTACAAGCAGCACTCGTATCAGTTACTGAGCTGAGAGTCGTGCCGGCGTGTAGGTGCTGTGGGACGGATCGGGGGGAGCGTCTCTTCGGTTTGGAGTTGCTTCTCTTTGAAAATTTTGAAGAATTCCATCTGCAACAGTTTTAACTTGGAGTTTACCATGATGGTCTCGGGTTAGGTTTTGCTTCTCTTTCAGCTCATCAGCTGTTTTAAAAAGTCCTCGGGGACAGGAAGGAAAAGTAGCTCGCGATTAAGGTTGCAGAGGAGGCAAGAAGTGCCCGAGCCTCCTCATACTGGAGTCTTACAACCACCACTTTTTTATCTGGTTCCTTGTGAGGAGAAGTAGGAAGTTCAGCAGAAGCCCCCTCCTCTCCCCATCATGCTTTCCCTGCCCTTTGGCTCTCTGGGGATCCAGCAAACCGGCACGCAGGGGGACCAAAACCAAAAAAACACCCAAGGATGATATTTTCAAAAGCTCTCAGCGCTGGTGTTTCTGCTTCGGTTGGAATCGGTGGGTTTTTTACTGCAGAGAGCAATGAAAGTTTGGGGGTTTGGGGCTTTTTTTGGTTGGTTGTTTTTTTTAATGGGGCCTCTCTGCAGGCTCCAGAAAAATTCAGCAGGCATCCAAATCATCGAGGAGGAGTGGAAATTTTGTTGTACGTGATTTTCATGAGATGAGGGTTTGGAAACATTTTAGGGGCGTGCTCACTTCGGGCACATAGTCGCAGGGCTGGTTTCCACAGTGGCTTCAAAAGTCTTTGGTCACCTGTGTTGACTTAGCTGGGCTGCTGAGCCTGTCCTGATCTGATGGCCCTCTGCTTTGAGGGGTTTTTTATATTTTAGTTATCAAAGTGGAACTCAAACCCAACTCTCTCATGCTTCTCCCTGACTCCCACTCTCTCTCCCAAATGCCGTTGTTTGGAATATCATCACAGCCGGCAAAATGGGGCCTCTCTCTTAGGGACAGCTATTCCTAAGGACCACGGATTCTTTTCTCTCCTCGTGAGATGTCTGTGGCCTGATCAGATGCCACTTGGAGCACGATGGCCTCCGTCCAGCAGAAAGGGCTTGTTCTTCCTCCTTTCTCCTCTCGGCTGGAGGGACTAGATGCCTGTTCTGATAACGGGCAGTTCTCACTGGGGTTTATCCCTGAGCTGTGGTGCCAGGCCTCACTCTGACCCCAGAGTAGCGATAAGAACAATAATAATAATAATAACAGCGATGAAAATCCCCCAGAACGCTCAGCTCCATTTTGCAGATCAGTGGCCTGCAGCGTTTTGGTCGGACAGGGGGGTAGCAGGAGTGCAGGAGTCTGGTACGCCGGTCCGTGCTCTCTTTGGATGCTCATACCCCATAAGGGTAATTCTGCATCCAAATTCCTGAAGAAGCTTTGAAAAATCTCAGCCCGAACTGGCACACACAGCCTTCGTCATCGTCGCTTCTTCGTGTTTCCCATGATTACCAACGGAAGCCCAGTGTCCCTGGGCTGAGGTTTCTCAAAGCTGAACTAGTTTGTGAATCTCCCAGCTGACAGAGCCGGCACTTCCACAGAGCAGCCAGAGCTGTGGGGGTACCAGAGGTGGGTTCCAAAGAAGCCAGGAATGGAGCTGGATGCGTTAGGAGAACAGGAGCACCTTGCTGCCTGTGCTCCAGCGGCAAAGCCACGTGGAGTACCTTCCTTGCTAGAGTCCTACTTTTTACTCTACCTGCTTTTTGGTTTTGGTTTTTGGTTGTGGTTTTTTTTTTTTATTTTTCATTATTTTACCCAGGTAGGTGTCAGGCTGTCTCCTGAGTGACGGTGCTAACCTTCTTCCTCGGACCTTCCTCACCAAAGCAGCTGCAGTAATAACTGCATGAGTTCTGCATGCCTGACCTCTTGCTGTGAAAGGAACACTTTTCCAACAGACAGCTGTGTGTGTACCTGCCAGGGGAAGGATGCCTGTGTCTTCCCCCTTGACCAGATTTGCTCGTTTCTGGCAGCCTGTGTTTGAGCCAGAAGGGCTGCCGAAGGAATTCGGTGCCTGCTGGTGGGGTTGGGGTTGTGCAACCCAACACCAAAGAGTTGTAGTACTGCCTTAGCAAACTAATTGCATTAACAAGGAGCAGGTTACGTACAAGGAGCAGGGTAACACTCACGCTTATGCCTTTTTTACTAAAATTACTGTTACTATGCTTTTCATTCAGCTTAAAATGTTTGTTGGGGTTTTTTCCCCAGATTTTCCCAGCGTAGCAGCCCCTGCATGCTGCTAATGATGTCTTGCTTTCCTTTTCAGGAGCCAGGTCCTGTGCTAAATGAGGTGCCCCAGCTGGGCACCGACTATCCGACCTCCTTCACTTCAATCAACAAGTCTTCCTCTGCCTATCCCTCCACCACCATCGTCAATCCCACTATTGTCCTCCTGCAGCACAATCGAGGTAAGGAGACTCGCGCATAGACGGCCGTGGCTCCGGCTCAGCAACCTGTGGTGCTGCAAGGAGCTGGAGAATGCGTGTGCCGTGCACAATGAAGTCCAGACTACTAAGAGCTAACAAAGCTGCTTCCAGAAAGTTGTAGTGACCGGAGGATATGCCAAGAGGTTGGAGGCGTGGGACAATGCCTACTGCTCATTAGAACCCGGGGATCAGAAGCCACGCTGAGCGGAGAGGAGAGGCTGGTAACCGGGCTACAGACGTAGGAATGAGCTTATCCCCAGTTAGGTGTCTTGTCAGGGTGGAGAAGGGTGTATGCTCTCGTCTGTCTGTCTGCAGAAGCAAGGTAGCTTGAGGTAGGTTCTCCCTCACGGGAAAAGAGATGTTGCTTCTCAGCTGCTGCAGTGTGAAAGCAGATGTATTTCCAGTTATTGCAGGAGAGATTTGACCTCTGAATTCTCAGCAGAATTTACCCAGTAGTAAATAATCCCTTTGCCCATAAGTTTGAACTTGGCAATTTCTTACTCTGTCTGTAACTGGGTCAACTCATGCTGCAGTAGTCCTTGAGCTCTGGGTCTGCACGTGAACAAAACCACCTTGCTTGAGGACTCTGGGGTTTACTAATCTAAGCCTTTTTCCTCGCAGCAGGTCCCTCTGAATGGATCGTTACATCTCTGCCTCTGGCATTCAAGGGCAGCTTTGCTTCTCCTGTTCCGTTCTGATGGCTGGTGTTACCCCAGCCCCCCAGGTCGTTGTACATCACTGGAGACTGTAAAGGGCCTCGCAGATGCAGTCCGATTTGCCTTGGTTTCCAGTGGACCTGGGAAACTCCAGGACAGATTCCAGTCTACAATGCTACGTCTTACCTTTTGCAAAGAAAAAAAAAAAAATCAGAGAATAGGGGCAAGGCCTGTGCTCCTCATGTTGCAGCAATTCTAATTGCAGGCGTGCGTTGGTGTGTTCCTTTCCAGCCCTGCCCCCTTCCCCATATTTTTTCCAGTCGTTGATCCTGAAGAGAGTGTCCTTGCTGTAGCTCAGCTGATTGCAGGGGTAACGAGGGGGTTGTCTCTTCCTTTTGCCAGCATCTGGAGTGGCTTTGCTCATGTGCCTCTGAGTGAGGGTGGCTGGATTCCTCAGTTACCTCAGGAGGAGAAAATACTATTTGAGGCAGCCTTTTTTCATCTCAAAGCTTTTTGTTGACTTTGTTGAGGTGAGGTACTCGTGTGTACCACGCTTTCTCTCTGTGGATTTTCAGAGCACGAGAGACAGGTCTGTATAATACAGTGATCCACACACGCTGGCTCCGAGACAAATGATGTCAGATTGCACTGTTTACTAATTACCTTCGCAGTGAACAATTTGTCCTGTCTGAACATGTCTCACCCCTGGCCAGCAGCACTCACGATGCCGTATCCTGACAGATTGAAGAGCCATCTCTCATCACGTTTTTGCTGATCGTGATAGAGATCGTGGCCCGATAAGCAGCTGGATTGAGCCTGTGAAGCGCCTCGTTCGAATGCGCGGTTTGCAGTCATTGTTCAAGAGTCAAACTTGTCATTTGCAAGAATCGTATTGAACGGGTTTGACAAGGCATCTCAGTCGTAAATCTGTATTGACTGACCCTGCGTGTGTCATGCTGTGTATTTATTAGTCAAATCCCATAGAAGTCATTACAATATCTTTTTTTCTGGCATAATTGTCAGCTCGACAGATGGATGTCCCAGCCATCATGCTAATGCTTTTCGAAGGCTGTCGCAACGTTTGCTTTGTTCCTTGTCCTGTGGCATTCCCTTTGTATTCCAAGACACACCGAGGAAGAATGTTAATGGTCCAGTGAGCTGCTCTTACCGTAACTCTCTCTGCAGAGCAGAAAACTGCTCTAAAACTCTTCAGTGCAGTTCATGTGAATGTGCTGGTGTTCAAGCATCTGACCTCAGTTGTCATTCGGCGTAGTCCTTAGTTACTGTTGGAGTGGAAAGTATTTCTCCATCGGGCAGTAGGATGTCAGACTTTTTTCTTTTCTTTTTTTCAAATGCAGAATGGAAACAGCAATCAGATGTGTCATCTTTTCTGCTCTCTGAGTAACAGTTCCACTGTGCCTATTTGGTAAAAGAACGAGATCATTGCCTGGGTTCTGTTTGTTCTCCATGTCCCTCAAAATCTGTTTTTGAGTCTCTGAGACACTCTGTTAATACTTGGACTTCCAATGTCATGTTATTTCACTTCCCAGCATACGGTACCTACTCATGCAAATATATCTTCTTAGTTTTCCATTTTTTTGTGTTGAGGGTTTCTTACAGTTCGCTATGCTTCCATTCCTATCTAGGCTTTATCCCAGCACACCATTAAGATTTCTTTTTTCTACCTTAGTGTTTTTAAATGGTTCTCAGATCTTAGTTATTTATTACACTTCTGTCCTGGCTGACGTGATTCATATTCAGTTTCATCTTTATCGACCTTATCTATTCAAAACTGGTTTGGTCTCATGGCATATGACAAACTGTTGCTAGGTTATGATCCACGTTCCACTGAACAGTTAATTATCTTCTGTGCTGAGACCAATTCCTTCACGTCAAGATCAGGTTGAATATAAATTTCTCTTGTGTGCTATGAAATTTCTAATCAGAAGGTGTTTCAAGGTCATTTTAATGCTGGCAGTCTGAGATCTGCAGTAGTTTAGTCTTCCAGATGGATAATGTGGCTTGCTTTCTTCTCAGTGGAGTATTGATTGCTGTTTAAGGAGCTGGTTATCTTATTCTCCAGAGTGACTGTTGTAGCAGACCTCACCCGCTGTCCTATTTTATGCTTTTCTGCTAGTTCTTTAATCTGTAAGTGTGTAAGACCCTTTGATTTGGAGCTCTCAGAGACTCAGAAACAGGTAGTGGCATCTGAAGCACAGAAACTACACAATGTCCTTTTTTTGTCTGCCTGATCTTACTCAGTAAGTTGTGTTGAGAGATCTCGGAGGATTTTTTCCTACTGCATTTCAGTAATACCAACTGAAAAAGGCTTATGCTTAGAAACAAGTAATTTCAGATCCTCTTGTTCATTCCCAGCACCAAGGTAAGAATTTCTTCCCTTCATATCTGTTGGTGTCTTGGTGAATTTTCTTTTTGACACCTTTATTTTGCTCTAAACATGTATGTATTCAAATATTCGTTTCCTCTTCACCTTTTGTTACTGGTTTCAAGTCTCGGTCTCCTCCAGTGCTCCCTCCTCTGGGAACGCTGCAGGCACCCATAATCATTCCTTCTCTGGTGCCAGCAGTTAGTCCTCTGCTCGACCTGTTCTATGAGAAGCCTACGAGGTTTTGGCCATTGCTTACGGTCCCAGAACGCAAGATCAAGGGTGAAAACCTCAGTTAGCTGGTGTGTGCCTGGAGCTACAAGCTGGCTCTGGTCAGGCAGGAGCGTGAAACAGCAGACAGCTCCCACTCCGTCCGCTTCAGTCCGTCAGCAGCTCTTTCCTAGGCAGAGACGCAAGCGGAAAGGAAACCAGCTCTTCATGTGAAAAGTACTTTTGTTTTTTTTTTCCATGAAAAGCCTTCATCCATGATATTCTCTCCCCTGTGGCAGAACAGATAGGAAAGAGCTCTCGAGCATCGACTCTTTAAACCGCCTGTTTTTGTTGGGAGACCTTAGTGATCGAACACAGCTCTCGATGGAGGCAATGGCTGAAGGCGAGACCATCCTCGCTCACGCCTTCCCTCCCGTCGCGTAACGCGGCAGTGCACTCAGCAGAGAGAACCCTGCAGCGGGTGCTTCCCAGCTGCTCGTCAGGTCCAGACTGCGAGCGCGCCCTCCTACCCGTGGCGCGTCGGGGTTTGCTTGGTGTGTTGGCAGCTATCATGCGAGCACCAGTGGTTAGCAGAGCAGGAGTGCTGCGGCTAACGAGCAGAGCTCACGCGTACTGCTGAGGGAGCTGCGCTTGGTGAGGAGAAATACTGGTCTCTCTGTGGAGCTGATCCCCCACGTGCAAACACCTGGTGAAGGTGGGTTCTGCTAGCGAGCAGCACAGGCCTGGAGGATTGTCACCCTCCGCAGATGTGCTTGGCGAGTGTCCCACGCCACCCCAAAGCAGAGTTATTTCCTGGGCAGGCATTGCATGGAGTGGTTTATTATGAATATGTAACAGGCGTGATTAATATATTAAAGTTTTGAAATGTTTGCATTAACAATATGAGCTATCAGGAGTGTTTGCATTTTACATGTCAGTAAAATAGTTAATTCTGTTCAAAAGGCTTTCACGCATTAAAGGAAAGGATTAATTGCTAGGGAGTAGAAAGAGCAGAGAACAGAGCTGAGAATTCTTGGTTCCTTCCCAGCCGTGATTTGGGCGAGTCACTTGGGCGTCCCGTTAGGAAGCAGCCGGGAGCATCACCTTTAGGGTGGTCAAACACCAGGGAAGATACCACCAACGTCCCAGTCTGGGAGCTCGGTAATGAGAGGCCCTAAACCATGGGGACCGGTCTGAGAATCAGAGCCCTGACCAAGATGTGTCTGCGCGCAGATCACCGCATCTGTGGCTCAGCAGGGTGTGATGGGACTCGGCAGGCACCAGCAATGACTCGCTCCTGTCCTCCATCCCTTGGAAATGCTAGGGTTTCAAAATGCACTTCATGCTAGTGGTAACAGGGTTAGTTGTCAAGCTGTCTGTGACTACTGTTTTTTGAATTGTCTCCTGTCCAACTTTTTCCATTCTCTGTTAAGAAAAAAAAAACTGTTAAAAAAAAAAAACGCTCTTTGCAAATGTATCGGTCACTGCTTCATGAGACAGATGTTATCCCACGAGGCTGCTTGTGTGGAGAAGGGCCTGTGGGCTGTCACTTTGGCAGGGCGTTGGACAACAGATTCTCTCCAGCAGCTGCTGCCGTTCTGTCTGCAGCGTAATTCTTGCCTGTCAGAAATGCAGCACCAGAGCACTCGCTGTTTATGTCTCACCCATTTGTTCTGTATTTCTTTTTTGTTTTGTTTTTTCTTTTACCACAGAACAGCAAAAAAGGCTTAGTAGCCTGGCAGGTATGATGTGAAAGGTCCTACCCCCAACTGCTGGCGCAAGCTGCTGCTCTCTGAGCTTGCGGAGTCCCTCCAGCAAACACCCTTCCAGCGCTGCAAGGGAATTAGGAGAAACGTTGGTCCTGGCTTAGTCCAGGTCACCGAATGTTTGATTTCAGTCTTTCCTCCAAATGCTACCTGTGTGGCCACAGGTTAATACACCAAACCCCCAAATTACCGACCTGTTCCTCCCAAGTCAGAAAGTTTACATACGGTTTGATTGTTGACTTTTGAGCCTTTAGGTTTATTCCCTCGGGGCGTATTCTCAAGTTCCTCTACACAGCCTAACATTGGAGTTAGTCTACTGTAACATTGGAGTTAGTCTTGCTGGTGGTGAGGGGAGAGGAAGAGAAACAAAAATCAGTATTTCCAGGACTTCAAGGGCAGAAGTATTTGTGCTGGATGTCAAGAAATAGGTGATAGAATTGTAGTGTGTAAGAAGGCACGTGTGCTGCTGCCCTTCTCTTCCTCGGCAGCTCTTCACTCTTCCAGCGGGCGTTAGTCTCTCCTTGAAAGCAGAGGAAATAGTTTTCCTGGGCATCTTTCCCTCCCCGCACCCCAAATAGACGTAGCTTAGTCTGGATGGGACCAGACTCTGTTCAGTGGTGCCCAGCGACAGGACAAGGGGCAACGGGCACAAACTGAAGCAGAGGAAGCTCCAGCTGAACACGAGGAAGAACTTCTTCCCTCTGAGGGTGACGGAGCCCTGGCCCAGGCTGCCCAGGGAGGTTGTGGAGTCTCCTTCTCTGGAGATATTCAAGACCTGCCTGGCCGCGGTGCTGTGCAAGCCTGCTCTGGGTGACCCTGCTTGGGCAGGGGGTTGGGCTGGGTGACCCACAGAGGTCCCTTCCAACCCCTCCATGCTGTGATTCTGTGATAAGAGCAGCACGCTATGCACCGCTGAACCGTATTACTGTGCTTTGGTTAGGGCCATGGCGGGGTGAAGGGAGAGGTGGGAGAGAAGAGAGTCACAGAGGGTGCCTGAGCCCTTGAAACATCACAGACAGAAACACAGGGAAGGCAATACGGCGTGCTCTTGCTCTGCAGCGTGGGCCCTGCGCTAGCCGAGCGTGTCCTGTGAGGACAGCATCTGCTGTCCTGTTGGTCACAGCAGTGAAACTTGTGCTGCGCAGCCCCTCCGTCGCTGCTGCGCTTGCAGAGGGGTGGCTCGGGTGCCGCCGAGCGAGCGTGCTGACTGGTGCAGTCTGGTTATTTGGGCAGCTAGGCACCAGATTTGGCGCTCTGATTTTTAAATTAAAAATTTGTAAATGCCTCCAAACCTGGTGTGTATCTCCATAAACCCTTTCGAAATCATCGGAGCTGCCTGGCAACTAAATAATAAATTCATTGTTGGGAGATGGCTGGCACAGGCCAGATGGTGGCTTTCATTTTTGCTAAATCATCAAAATAAAGATTTTGCTTAGATCATGGCTGTGGTACTGTGAAATCTGATTATGATGCATTTACCACGTTGTTTATGTCCATATTAGGTATTTTGAATATCCTCATCATAGTTTCAGCTGGGCCTACGTGGCAAACAGCCACCCACTTTTTCAGTGCTGGGAGCTAGGGCATCAAAGAGAAATAATATGTATTTGCCAGTCCTGTTGGAGAAGGACTTGTGACCTTCTCTGGCCCTGAAATCCTTAGCCTGCAGAAAATAATGACTTTTCTAGACTGGAAGCTCAGGACTTGTAGCTTCAGCAGCGACAATGACAAGTAGTGGAGGAAAGCTGTGACCTTTCCTAAAGCTTGTATCCTCTCCGCATCCAAAACCCCGTTCCTTTGGGTCTTCTAGGTCCTGGGAGAAGGGTCTAGTTTCAGTTGCTCTTCCCCTGCTCTGTTCCTAGAGGCTTAGGAAGGAGTTCAGTAGTGGGAATGGCCCCCATACTTCCCACAAACTGGAGAGCCCTGTACACCGGGGACGTGAAGTGACCAAAAGACAGTGCCCACACACTGACAGGGAGGGGAAATAGGGTGAAAGTGCCAGACAAGGATTTAATAGATGCTTTGCCCCATTTTCAAACACTTGAAGACATCATTTCATTTTTTCTTAAAGAGGAGGAAGACTTAAAGCTTGATGATAATTTCAGACCAACCACTCCAACACAAATCCTCCATGTACTGAATTTCGCAGGGCAGAAGCGTGTTTGCTGGAGGGACCAACAGACCAACGCTTTGTTACGCACGAGCCTTTCCTCTGCTAGCTGCCGCTTCCAGATTTCTGCACATTTAATGGCTTTGGGCAGTATGGTGATGTGCATGTGAATAAACATCTCTCTCTCTCTCTCTCTCTCTCTCTCTCTCTTCAGTGCATGCGGTGATGTAAAAAGGATAGGGCTTGGCAAAGTCTTGATGAGGCAGACTGTAAAATCACAGATATTTCGTCTCCAGAAGATCCACGTGGAAGAAGTCCTTGGCAGAGCCTGGGGGCTGGTGTGCTGCAGCTCTGCGGAGCATAGCAGGGCTGTGGAGCAGCCTGAGCTCTCCGGGTCCTTGGCTGGTGGTGGTGACAGTCGGGCAGCATCGAGGAATTCCAGGTGGAAGCAGGGTGGTCTGGAGAAATTAGCTGTTTCCCACCATCTTTCTGCAGACTCATGTGCAAGAGGAATCATACGTTAGATGGAAATCACTAGCAGAGAAAGATGTCTGTGTCGCTGATGCTTTTTGACGAAGAACAAGATTGCAGAGTCACTAATTAGTCAAAAAGACAGAAAAAACAACCCCTAAACAGTCCTTGAGCCCCAAATTGTCCTTTGTCTTACGTGGCAGCTGGGACTGTCTGGAGAGGTGGGAAGGCAGCTGCCTGAGAGATGCTCCCCTGCTTTTTCTGGTGTCAGACGTCTTCTTGGTGGGCTTCCTCCAGTCCAGATGCTGACCACAGCTAGCTGTGACACAGTCTGTCTCATCAACTACTTGCTAGGGTCTTTGCCTTAGGAGAGTGGGCTGTGGTGGTGCAGTGAAATGCTGGGATGCGATAAGAATCGGCCGTTGTCATTTCCAGATTCAGGGCCAGACAAGGCAGTTTCAGATAAAGTTGATTCGGCGCTCATACGGGACAAGCCAGGCCAGGAGACGGTGCCAAGCGAGAAGAGGGCCATGGAGGAGAAGAGGAGCGGTGTCAGGAGCCCTCAGCACGTGGCCGATACCTCCATCGATGATATTGGCATTCCGCTCAGGGTGAGACAGCATGGGTCAATGCGTAAAACCTGGGCTAGATCCTGCCTGCCTTAGGACTCGGGGAATTCGCTAAAGCTCTAGCGACCGCGGAGATTTAAAGGAAGACAGAATTGTAGTTCCAATGTATTTTATTATGAACAGTTCCATTTGCTGCCAATGACCTGTTTCAGCTGCCTTAGGGGGTAAAAATTAAAAATTAATGTCTCTTTTCATCATATTTGAGAATACTGTTTTCTGCTCTTCTGTTTCATTCACAGCTAGCAGCTGAGGAGAGTTTTGTCGCATTTTAGCCATCTTTAAGGCAGATATCTCTTTTATACAACATGTTGAGGTTCATTCAGCGTTCAGGGGAAATCATAATGAAAAGAATTATTAACCTATTCTTACAACTAGAGTCTGGAATGACTTGAACACTGAATGTTTCCAACTGTCCATTGAATACTTATGAAATTGGTACGTATGACAAATAGGCAAGGTGTCTGTCTTTAGATGTCAGATCAGATAAACGGCAAAATCCTTTCACACAATCCAAAGTTCTACACAGGTTACAACCTACCCCTGCAAAGCTTGTGCGCTGCTAGTAACGGGAGTGAAGCCTGTAGCTTCATTACGTATGAGATTATCTGTCTGAGTGAAATCACTCATATTTTGAAGTATGAATTTCATACAGCCTTTGTAGAGCAGAGTGTAAATCTTTTTCATTGCTGGAGGATCCGTAAGAACTTTGAAAGGCTGGTAGAATTCATGTCTGTGATGATTTACGTGAGTATTTATTTTTCCAACAGAATACAGACAGATCGAAGGACTGGTACAAGACGATGTTCAAGCAGATCCACAAGCTAAACAGAGGTACTGTAACACAGATGGGTTTTATTGACGTTGAAAGACCACCTTGATAACATTTTGTTTCCTTCGTATGAAGAATTGTACTGGATTTTAAACAAAAGCATTTTATGTTGACCAGCGTTTGCTCCGCACCGCAGAACTCAGCCAAGGTATTTGAGATCTCTGAAGTCGAAGGTGAGAGAACAGTGAAGCCCAAAGAAAGGTCTGAGTAGTTCTGAAAGGTGAACTGCAGTGCCCTCAAGAAACCCAGAGTACTGTTTGAGGTCCGAAAGTTGCTAATAATTCCATACTGAGAGAAAATAGATCCTTGAACTCCAGCTGTAGCAGCTAACACCGTGCCCACACGCACTTTTAAAGGACAGTAAGTTCTCACTGATACTGCTCTATGCATAAGAGACAACTTTTCCACTGTAAAGCTTTAGTACTTGGGTTACAAAGCTTGATTTGAAGCTCACCGAAACCAACGGAGAGGTTCGTGTTGATTTAGGCAAGTTCAGATTCTGAACTCTGCTTTTTCAAAACCTCAAATTTTCCCCTTTCGAAACCTGACCCTGCAGGCTTCGTGGTCCTGCGCTCTCAGGGCTGCCCCTGCGCGGGGACACGTCCGTGCCTGGCTGCTGATCCGTTCACGTTCTGTCTGCTGTGTGCGAAGCGGCTGCGGCCAGCGACCGCAAACTGCGGGCTCTGAACAGCCCGGCGTGCAGGTCCAACCCGCGCTTACGCAGTGAAGCACCGAGCATGCGAACCTGAAGCTGCGTGTGCTGCTGCCCGTGCTGTTGTGATGAGCTTGGTGCGTCTCCAGATGCTGCGTGGTGTTGGATGGGATGGGCACGAGCTGCTCCCTCATCCCAGTGCTCCTAGCAGAGGTTCTTCAGCTGGGGCAGAGCCCGTGCCGCAGGCGGAGGAGGCTGATTTTGGTCCCCTCGTCTTCCAGGGTCTCCCGCAGGGCCCTGACATGCCAGGCAGCCATGAGCGGAGAGGGTCGTGTCGAGTTAGAACATCCACTTGAGAGGGGCTGTGCTGTAGCTTGTACGGGTTCTTGTCTCGCCCTTCTTCCCCTTTAAACCTGTCCTCTCTGTTCTTTTTTGCAAATCGTCTTCCTCTCCTTAGACACTCCTGAAGAAAACCCCTATTGCCCTACCTACATATTTCCTGAGCTTCCTGAAACCCAGCAAAAAACTGAAGGTACCAGAAGTTTAGTCAGAGTATCTGTTGTCTTGTGCTTTAACTGTACTATAGCACCCTAATAGTAACTCGATTCAGGTTCTAGATTTCCGTTACCCATGTGTTACGCTGGCTGGAAATCCAGTTACGCCCAGTATAGCTTCTTGTGTGATGCATAAAATAACTAAATCTTTGCTAATCCATTAATCTTTTTTTTTAAAGTATGATGCCATTTACTCTAGCATTATTAAAATAGGTGGTAAAATCATATGGCGATAGGAAATTGGGGGATGAAGCAGAACCTCCACTTCACTGTGGGTAGTCTCAAAATCCACCGCTTTTCTCTGCTGCAGAAGACAATCCTTATTCTCCTACATACCAGTTTCCTGCGTCTACTCCTAGTCCTATCTCTGAAGGTAATAACAAAGGACCATATGTATTTTTCTGCACAAATGCTGCCTTAGCCATTTATTTTCTCCCTGGAGTTCTTTCTCGCTGCTGAGCGTTGCGCTGCCTCACCATGATTTGCTGCACTCTGAGCGTTACCTTGATGGGATGACGCCTCCTTGGCTTTGCAGCGCTCCGCTGGCTTTCTCACTGCTGTTTGACTAACGCTGCAGGCTTGGGGTTTGCTTGGTTTTGTGCGCTTATCGGTTGAATTTCGCCGTGTGCGTGCAGTGACTGTTTAACACGCCTAGGACGCCGACTGATGCGTAAAGATGTGGTTTAACTGAGAGTTCTCCCGCCCCCTTTCCGGATCAATACATTGCTTCAATTATTTACTTCTGCTTTTGACTATTAACATAGTGTTAGGGCCAGACCCAACACGCCACTGAAGTGGGTTGGTAAAGAGGCCGCTTGCTTCAGTGGGTTTTGGATCAGTCCCTCAGTGCAGTCTGTTCACCTAAATAGAACTTGGTAACGTAGGTTCAGGGCTGGCCTTAGGCGCACTTGGCCTACCTAGGCAAGGACGGAGCTGGGCAGTCTCACCAGCACATCTGGTGACTTGAAATAAGGCTGTCTTTACCTTATCCTCTTCACGTGCTCAGCAGATTCCTTTAAGCTTCACGTACGAAGCAGAATCCTCTGCAGTCGTGTTTCGCGGATGTTGAAATATTATCTGTTGCCGTGATAATCTGGTAACTGCGTGCATATGCGTGAAAACACTGCTAGACGAGAGACGCTGGAATCCGCTGCAGACGCTGGGCATACAGACATTTCCCGGCTGGGAAACTGTTGGTGGTGACAGCCTTGTTGATCTGGTGCTTTGGTGTCACTTCTGTAGACGCCGCCGTTTAGGAACTTGCCTACTTAGCCTGTGCCTCAAGCCAACCCTGGTGAGACTATTAACGAACCATTGCGTTCCGCGTTCGTATTACACATCTGGTGGGTACTGTGTCAGAAGAAAGCACACGCTGTGGGCTCTAGCCGAGCTGCTCAGAGACGACCAGGAGACGTAAGGTGTGCTGTTAAAATGAACGTGGACGAGTGTCATGCAGGTGTCGATGCCACTTGCTTATTTCTTGGTGAAACCTGGGGGTGAAGAGTCCTGTCTTGCGACTCAGAATGCAGTATAAATTATTTCCATTGACAGTGTGGTACGTGGGTCTGGAAGAGACAGAAACAAAGAGCCTCGAGAACCAGTCGATAAAGGACTTTTACAGAGATTCCATTTTCTTGTTTCTAATGAAGTTTGAAAATCCATTTTGCTGTTATCTGAACTGATGTAGTTTGCAAAACCAGTGATGATAATATATTAAGAGTCTGGTTTCCCATAAATGTCCCGTATGCACTTATAAAAGTGCATATGAACGGCTGTGAAGATAGCTTTAGACGTTTGTTCATCCGTATTTGTAGGGACAGAGTTTTTTGTGATTTACCAAGTGTTTTGCTATCTGAATAAACCCATCTATAGGAATACCGGTCGATTTTGTCAACAATTCAGTGTAATAACGTTAAATAAATAAATATTTATTTTCCATCATTTAGGATTAAAATAAGGGAATTGGCCCGGAATGTGACCTTGGCTACTTTTTGAGCTGAAGGTTACGATAAGCACGCCAGGGTCAATAAGCATCTGTCTGGAGGTCAAACCTGCTCATTCATTCACCAGCAGAACTCAGCAGAGGGGCTAAAAGTTGAGACTGCTTTGAGCCTTCCTGACAGGCTTGACTGAGCCTCAAGGGCAGCTCCAGCTCAGCCGTGTTGGCCAGACTGGGTTTCCCAGCAGGCGAGATGGGCTGTAGCAGACGGTGGATCCTCTCCTTGAGAGCCGGACACGGTTTCAATCTGCTGATCGCCACCACTGAACTCACAGAACGCTCCTTTAGGGTGTTCTTTTCTTATCTAGCTTATGCTAGCTTCATCTGGTTTGTTTCTCTGTCATTTTATCTCTGTCATTTTTAGTGGGTTTTTTTCTTCACAGAGATATTAGTAAGACCTTTGCTCGCAGCTCTCTTTGCAGCCGTTGCGTTGCACTTCCCTGCATTTTGCCTTGGAAGCCCTGTGGATGTCTCACGTGCTCCCAGCCATTCCGAACCCTCATCATCAGAGGAAGGTGATGGGCCTGGGGGTCTGATCCCAGCTCCCCCTGCTGCCACCTTTGAGAGCTCCTTGAATATCTCTGTAGCACTCTGTAGACATGTCTTTCCTATTTAAAAAGCAAGCTCTTCAGCGCCAGGGCCGTCTCTGGGTGAAAGCAGACATGTGCGCCTCGTGCCAGGGACGTTCTCTCTGCTTGGAGATCATCCAAGTCGGTGAATGTGCTTCGGCTCGGCGTGCGAGTTGATTCAAGGCAGATGTCCCAGCGATCATCAGATGTGATTGGGAGCAGGACCCCTCAGCTCTGTCACTGCAGCACCTCATGAGCTATTTCAGGCACATGCTACGGCTTTTAAATCCTCAGTTTATCTTTCAGCTTTCGATAAAGTGGATGTAATAACCCTTGCTGTAGAGGAGTTTTGTGATAAAAAGTGGTTGTTTTCTAAAGTGCTTTGAGAGCCTGGAGAAAGGTGTTAGTGTAAGTAGTACATTAATATTTATATCTAATCTAGGAATGATTTTTAAATGTCATTTAAACTTCATTGGGATTTTCTTTTTTAGGATCCTCTCCCTGTGGTAAGTATTGGGTGTATCACTCAGATCATGGCCAACATGTTAGTAGAAGAAGTGCAAAGAGTCTCTGGTGCTGCTTCTTCAGGGCTTTTTCAGCTCACTTGCAACATGCTTTTGTCTTTCAGATGAGGATTCTGATTCGTACTCTCCTCGGTACTCCTATTCTGAGGACAGTAAGTCATTCACATTTCTTGTGTAACCTGTCGGACAGAAAGGGCATGTCAAGCATGGATTTGTTGGCCTCCTACCCGGTTCACCGATAGCCTTCCCCTCTTTGACTCATCCTACAGGCAGATCCCAGCTTTCGGTTCCCCGCTCCAAGAGCGAGATGGACAACATTGATTCGGAGAAGGTTGTGAAGAGATCGGCCACTCTGCCACTGCCAAACCGCACTTCGTCGCTGAAATCAAGCCCAGAAAGGTGACCCAAACTAAGATATAATTGGATCAGTACGGAAGAATCTCTGAAAGCTGTGAATGGGGAGGGAAAAAAAAGGTGGCAGCTTTAGGTCCACAACTCCAGTTAAACTTTCTGGGGAAGTGCAGATGTAGTTTTGACTCTGACTCTGCTACGAGGCAGCAGCGAAATCCTTCGTCATCACAGCCCAGTCCCCGTCTCACCCGGCTTTTTCTGCCGGGCGTCACACAGCCGGGTGCGAGGGGTGCTGCCTCGTGCAGTGCCTGCCACCACGGTGGGAACGCTGGGCTGGGCGTGATGCTGTGAAGGCACCTCGGAATAAGAGCGAGCAGCCAGAATTGTGGGGGAGCAACATCTGGGTTTGTGTGGAGCTTTGGTAAAAGTTTTGTCACGTTTTCCACCTCTGAGGAGTCCCACCCATAGGAACTTTATTGGAAGCAGGTTCTAGTTAGCGCTGTCATTTCTGATCTTTGAAGATGACTTCCCTCCTGGTCTTTTGCTTTGTTTATTACCATGTATTTTAAACCTCTTTGTAGCAGTAGTGAATGCATTTACCGAGCGAAGGGAAAGCAGAATGAGCAATGAATGTTTCGT